TGTTTTTTTAAAAGGTTTGAAATGTTCGATTTTAACACAGTTTATTTTTGATATCCTATAGAATTGTGGAAATACAGATTACAGAAATTTTAAGAGCATTACCTCTTACCTTAAGACAGGGGTTGGCAACCTACAGCCTGTGGGCCAAGTGTGGCCTGTGGAGGCCTTGGGACTGGCCCATGGCCGGTGCTGCCACCGCCGCCGCCCCAAGTGTGCCGGCGTGCCACATACCAGCGCTCACGCGCACATGCACACACTGGCAGGTGCCATTTTGGAAGGCCCCACAGCGGCAGCACAGCGGCGTTGGGCCTTGGTGAGGCCGCTTTGCAGCTGCGCCAGACAAATTTTCCCGGTGCAGGCACGGGGGGGGCTTTCCAAGGCCCAGGGAAGCCCCCCCCACACTTGCTCCCATTGAATTTGCCTGCTGTGGGATCGGGGGGCCTTTCCAAGGCCCAAGGAAGCCTCCCTGTGCCTGCGCTGGGTGAATTCGCCCACCGTAGGCATGGGGGGGGGGGGCCTTCCAAAATGGCAGGAGTGGGGGGGGCAAGTGCACACACTCCATTTCCCCCCCCAGCCCCCCGGCAACAAAGGTTGCCGGCCCCTGCCTTAAAAGCATTACTTCCCCTTGCACAGTCACTGGCTCCCCCTTTCCTTTGCTGCCTCCAGAGTAAATTTTCCTATGGCCCTTCTCTTTGATAATTTATTAAGTACACTAGTAATTTATTTTGACATGAGCATGCATGTATTAACTGTTGTTTACTGTATGTGTTTTGATATCTAATGTTGGAATAAGAAGAGGAAGAGTTTGTTTCATAACCTCCTCTGTGACTTCTTTGAATACCTTGGGAGAATCTATTCAAAGGCATAGCCAGGTTGGTCAGCTTCAGGATGGAAAAGGATCTTGTGGTACTTTTGAGACTAAATGGGGAAAGACATTTGTAGCATAAGCTTTTGTAGACTGGATGCATCTACACTGTAGAAAAAAGGCAGTTTGACACCATGTTAGCTGCCAGTGCTCATCCTACAGAATCCTGGGATTTATTAGTTTTGTGAGGAACTAGCACTCTTTGGCAAAAAAGGCTAAGGACCTTATAGAATCATAAAGTTGAAAGAGACCTCAATGGCCACCAGTCCAACCCCATTGTACAGGAAGACTTAGGGCCTTTGCAGACTGCCAGAAATAGTGCACATTAAAT